CCCTACCTCTACCCCATCTCAGTCTCAGTAACATCACTTATTTGTATTGGGTACCCACCCTGTATGCACATATCAGTAAATAATACCATGCATGGACCAGATATTTGCAAGTACCCAGTATATTGCAGGTAAGTATGTATTCCTACCTGGTAAGAGATCTACCAGCATTTACCCAAAATACACCCATTATGTACTGGTAAGTACCATGTACCTACCCAGCAAGTTTTTGGAACATACTGGTGAGTACCATGTTTGCACACTGGATATACTGTATCCCTGATATGAACCAAGTACATGTTGGTAAATACCAAGTACACACCAGGTAAGTATCCAGTGCCTACCATTAAGTACCTGGTACAGACTGGTGAGTACCATGTTTGCACCAGGTACACACTCAGTATCTCCCTAATATGAACCAAGTACATGTTGGTAAATACCAAGTACACGTCAAGTAATTATCCAGTACTCCTACCTGGTAAGATATCTACCAGCATTTACCCAGAACGCAACCATTACATACCAGTAAGTACCATGTACCTACCCATTTAAAATATGGAACATACTGGTGAGTACCAGTGCACATACACACTGAATATCTCCCAATATAAACCAAGTACATACTGCTAAATACAGAGTACACACCAGGTAAGTAAGTAAGATAAGATAGAACTAGCCAGTGCCTACGTAAGTACCTGGTACAGACTGGTTTGCACCAGGTACACATTTGGTATGTACCCAATAAGTGTTCAGTGCCTATTGGTACTTACTGCGTGTTTTTTAATGTACTATTACTCTCAGCTGGAATCTGATCAACTCCTTTCTAGTAAAATATACAGTTTGGTTTCATATCTATGGTTAAATGTTGAGTTTTTAATGAAATAAAGCAGAAATGTTGACTTTTAAAGCGCTGCACCAGCTTCAACCCTCCTCTGATGAGGGTCATTGCTGGTGTTCTCTCCCTCCCTGCTGCTCGTGTGTTTGTGTCGCTGGTGGAGTAAATCAAAGATGGCGCCTGCAGCAGCTCCGTCACATGAATCCTGACGGCTCTGTTTGAGTCCCACACTTTGTTTTGCCAGATCTGCTCGAGGTAATTTATTGACTTTTTGTCAAATGAGGTCTTCAATCAGCCTCTGCTGGATCATTCCCACTGATGGCTGCAGTTTCTCTTGGCTCTGCAGGAGTCATTAGGTGCTCAATATCTTTAATGACTTCAACTTATCTCAAACTGTTTCAAAGATATGAACACACACACACACATTTCTGAAACTGGAAACAGCTGGTTTATCACACACAATAAAACATGTTGATCAAGAAACTTTGTTTGATCCTTTAAAAGGAGGAAGAGGAGCAAACAGAGGAGGCCAGAACACAGTTCTCTCACCGAGAAGAGGCGCCGTTTGAAGCTCCTTCAAGTTAGAAAAAGAGACGCAGGCCACATTTAACAACGTTAGCCAAGGAGACACCAAGGCCTCACAACATTTATGTCAAATTATTACACACACAAACAGAAAAATACAAGACGTAGGCCTGAACTTTCACTTAAACAAATACGATTTATGACGACATCACTGAGCCTTTTCATCATTTTAGTTTAATATGAATTAAACTTAAGATTAAAAAGTTCATTGTGCAGGAGTGAGACTGCACAATGAATGAGAATTTACAAAACTTTAATTAGTCAGAAATTTATTACGGGAGTAAAAACCAATTAAACTGATTAAACATCATACAGGAGAAGAAGTAAAATGATGATCAACTTTGAGTTCATCATATAAATCAGGACGACTCCATTCAGCTGCTCTGACTTCCTGTCTGTTTCTGAATCCATTTAAAGATTTTACTGCTCTGAACGCTCCGACTGCATTTATTCACTTTATTTAATCATCTCAGAACCTACTTTGTACGTCTGACATCAAATATTTCCTCTAAGATGTTTTAAAATAAAAATTAAAGGTGGTCAGTGTTTTTCAGTGGCTGCTCCAGGTCTGCAAAACAATATTTACCTTTCAATAAATGCATAATTTGCGACTCAGTCTGATGAAACTTGCTGGATTTAATGATCAGACCTCGTTTGTTTTGTAAATTCTGCATCATTTATTTAAAAAAATGGATCCCAGAATGACTGCGACCTGAAGTGCACCATCAATAATCTGAGTTTGTTTCGTTCCTGCAGACGATGGGTGGAATCTAATCATCTGTGAGAGGCGATCGCTCTCTCTGCGGCTGCCTTTGTTTACGGTGATCGAAGCTCCTGCCTGAAGAGTCCGTCTGCAGATTGAATTATTCTGAAGGAACGTTTAGTGAGAAGAATGCAGGAGGAGCCGCTTCGTCAACCGACACTTAAAATGAAATAAACCTTCGGAGATAAGCTCCGTCTGACAGAGAATTAGATCAAAATGTGCAGTTTTGATAGAAGAAATGTTTAATCTTAGATTAAACACATCAGAGTTTTATTAAAATAAAGTTTTATGGTATTCTGACACCCTGCAGCAGAATAAAA